AAATGGATAAATTCCTGGACATATACAACCTCCCAAGACTAAACCAGGAAGAAGTCAAATCCCTGAAAAGACCAATAACAAGTTCTGAAATTGAGGCAGTAATTAACAGCCTACCAACCAAAAAAAGCCCAGGGCCAGACGGATTCACAGCCAAATTCTACCAGAGGTACAAAGAGGAGCTGGTACCATTCCTTCTGAAACTATTTCAAACAACAGAAAAAGAGAGATTCCTCCCTAACTCATTTTATGAAGCCAGCATCATGCTTATTCCAAAATCTGGCAGAGACACAACAAAAAAAGAAAATTTCAGGCCAATATCCCTGATGAACATCAATGCAAAAATCCTGAATAAAATACTGGCAAACTGAATCCAGAAGCACATCAAAAAGCTTATCCACCATGATCAAGTCGGTTTCATCCCTGGGATGAAGGCTGGTTCAACATATGAAAATCAATAAATGTAACCCATCACATAAACAGAACCAATGACAAAAACCACATGATTATCTCAATAGACGCAGAAAAGGCCTTCAATAAAATTCAACACCCCTTCATGCTAAAAACACTCAATAAACTAGGTACTAATGGAACATATCTCAAAATAATAAGAGCTATTTATGACAAACCCATAGCCAATATCATACTGAATGGGCAAAAGCTGGAAGCATCCCTTTGAAAATCAGCACAAGACAAGGATGCCCTCTCTCACCACTCCTATTCAACACAGTATTGGAAGTTCTGGCCAGGGCAATCAGGCAAGAGAAAGAAATAAAGGGTATTCAAATAGCAAGGGAGGAAGTCAAATTGTCTCTGTTTGCAAATGACATGATTGTCTATTTAGAAAACCCTATTGTCTCATCCCAAAAACTCCTTAAGCTGATAAGCGACTTCTGCAAAGTCTCAGGATACAAAATCAACGTGCAAAAATCACAAGCATTCCTATACACCAATAATAGACAAGCAGAGAGCCAAGTCATGAATGAACTCCCATTCACAATTGCTACAAAGAAAATAAAATACCTAGGAACGCAACTTACAAGGGACATGAAAGACCTCTTCAAGGAGAACTACAAACCACTGCTCAAGGAAATAAGAGAGGACACAAACAAATGGAAAAAAAATCCATGCTCATGGATAGAATAATCTATATCATGAAAATGGCCATACTGCCCAAAGCAATTTATAGATGCTATGCTATTCCCATTAAGCTACCACTGACTTTCTTCACAGAACTAGAAAAAACTACTTTAACTCTCATATGGAACCAAAAAAGAGCCCACATAGCCAAGACAATCCTAAGCAAAAAGAACAAGGCTGAAGACATCGCACTACCTGACTTCAAACTATACTATAAGGCTACAATAACCAAAACGGCATAGTACTAGTACCAAAACAGATACATAGACCAATGGAACAGAACAGAGGCCTCAGAAATAACACCACACATCTACCACTATCTGATCTTCGACAAACCTAACAAAAACAAGCAATGGGGAAAGGATTCCCTATTTAATATACAGTGCTGGGAAAACTGGCTAGCCATGTGCAGAAACCAGAAACTAGGCCCCTTCCTTACACCTTATACAAAAATTAACTCAAAATGGATTAAAGACTTAAACATAAAACCTAAAACCATGAAAACCCTAGAAGAAAACCTAGACAACAGTATTCAGGATATAGGCATGGACAAAGACTTCATGACTAAAACACCAAAAGCAACTGCAACAAAAGCCAAAATTGACAAATGGGATCTAATTAAACAAAAGAGCTTCTGCTCAGCATAAGAAACTATCAGAATGAACAGGCGACCTACAGAATGGGAGAAAATTTTTGCAATCTATCCATCTGACAAAGGTCTAATATCCAGAATCTGCAAGAAATTTACAAGAAAAAAAACAACCCCATAAAAGGTGGGCAAAGGATATGAACAGACACTTCTCAAAAGAAGACATTTATGTGGCCAATAAACATGCAAAAAAAGCTCATCATCACTGGTCATTAGAGAAATGCAAATAAAAACCACAACGAGATACCATCTCATGCCAGTTAGAACCGCAATCATTAAAAAGTCAGGAAACAACAGATGCTGGAGAGGATGTAGAGAAATAGGAACACTTTTATACTGTTGGTGGAAGTGTAAATTAGTTCAACCATCGTGGAAGACAGTGTGGCGATTCCTCAAAGATCTAGAACCAGAAATACCATTTGACCCAGCAATCTCATTACCGGGTATCTATACACCCAAAGGATTATAAATCATTCTACTATAAAGACACAGGCACATGTATGTTTACTGCAGCACTATTTACAACAGCAAAGACTTGGAACCAACCCAAATGCCCATCAATGATAGGCTGGATAAAGAAAATGTAGCATATATACATCATGGAATACTATGCAACCATAAAAAAGAATAAGTTCATGTCCTTTGCAGGTACATGGATGAAGCTGGAAACCATCATCCTGAGCAAATTAACACAGGAACAGAAAACCAAACACCGCATGTTCTCACTCATAAGTGGGAGATGAACAATGAAAACACACAGACACAGGGAGGGGAACATCATACACTGGGGCCTGCCAAGGGGTCAGGGGAAAGGGGAGGGAGAGCATTAGGACAAATACCTAATGCATGTGGGGCTTAAAACCTAGATAACGGGTTGATAGGTGCAGCAAACCACCATGGCACATGTATACCTACGTAACAAACCTGCACGTTCAGCACATATATCCCTTAAAGTAAAATAAAACTTAAAGTAAAATAAAATTTTTTTAAAATAAATTAAAAACAAAAAAGAAATTGCTTACTTCACAGGTTGCAGGTTCCTTCATGAAGAAGGAAATATGGATACAGTTTCTGGCATATATCAAATTTTTTTATATTATGGATTTAAATTATGTAATGTCCCATTTTGCACTGTTACTTGAGTTTTTTAATAAGCGGAAATTATCTATTTACAACAACCTATGATAATGTTATTCTTATCACAATTCCTTGAGTAGACATCTCTCTCCCACTAAAAGATTAAACTTCCAGTGGGAATGATGGCTCACACCTGCAATCCCAGCTACTCAGGAGACTGAAGTGGGAGGATCACTTGAGGCCAGGATTTCAAGACCAGCCTGGGAAACAGCAGGACTCCATCTCTACAAAAAAAATTTTAAAACTTAACCAGGCATGATAGCAAGCACCTGAAGTCCCAGTTACTCAGGAGGCTAAGGTGGGAGAATAGCTTGAACCCAGGAGTTCAAGGCTGCAGTGAGTCGTGATCATGCCATTGCACTCCAGCCTGAGTGACAGAATGAGGTCAACTCTATTTAAAAAAAAAAGATTAAACTTATACTCACTTAAACTCATTAGATGGAGGTTTCAGAAACTTTAGTTTTTGAAACTCAAGTTGTGAATGTTACAGGTACATCATGACATGGCTCCCTGTTCCATGGAAGAGCCTCACAGCACACAGGCCTGGCCATCCACTTCATCATTGTGACCTGGGTTCTTTGCTTTGCCTCTCAGGACTGGATGGGGCTTCAATGGGTCTCACCCATGACCTGATGTAGCCTAAAGGGGGGTGACGGGGTGTTTGTAGCTGAAGAAAAATAAGTTTTGTGTTTGTTGTTGAGGGGAGCAAAGGCCCACAGCCTGACACCTGTTCCCTGAGGAGGCATAAAAGAAACCTGGGGAAAGCAGAATGGTTGGTATCAGTGCACAAACTACAGGCCTACCCATCACGCCACTAAGCAGTAACAGAGGCACAGGGAATGACACCAGGTGGCTGGCCCCAGCAGGGATGGCATGCCCTTTGAGGACTCCAAGTCAACCTTAAAAAAGAGGGTGTGGGGACCAGGAAGCTTATCCTCGGCACATGCATGCCACCTATGTGAATAGGAGGAAATAAAAAAAATAGCAAGGATAGCAAGTGGGGACGCTGGGATGGGGTGGGCCTGTCCCTCCGTCCCTCCGTCCCTCCCTCCCTCCCTCCTGTGCAGCCATGTTGTTGCCCTGGGAGAACTGCAGAGTCTGAGAGTTCTCTTTCTCCTGTGATTAAAGGTTATGGAGAATTGGCCGGGCGCGGTGGCTCAAGCCCGTAATCCCAGCACTTTGGGAGGCCGAGACGGGCAGATCACGAGGTCAGGAGATCGAGACCATCCTGGCTAACCAGGTGAAACCCCGTCTCTACTAAAAAAAATACAAAAAAACTAGCCGGGCGAGGTGGCGTGCGCCTGTAGTCCCAGCTACTGGGGAGGCTGAGGCAGGAGAATGGCGTAAACCCGGGAGGCGGAGCTTGCAATGAGCCAAGATCCGGCCACTGCACTCCAGCCTGGGCGACAGAGCGAGACTCCGTCTCAAAAAAAAAAAAAAAAAAAAAAAAAAAAGGTTATGGAGAATTAAATCGTAATCCTTTCATCTCTGTGATGCATGGTTCATCACCATACACGGGGAGGTGCTACCCACTGTGTCACTTTGTCTAATTTGAGTTTATTAGACCCTGGGCTGGCAAAGCCCAGGAAACTCACATGACAGATGCTATGTCAATGTATGTTAGCTATCACTGTGTATTTAGTTGACTGGACTTTTCTTAGGGAAACCGAAGGCAGATTTAATCTTTAGGAAAAAAGAGAATTCACCAAGATAATGTTTGAGGATTCCCTTGAAAACTGAGAGGCTGGCCATCTACAATAAGAACCCCAAGAGTGCCTGTGGCTTTGTTTATAAAATAGGTGAGGACATCAGATGCTTGGGTTTCTCTCTCAGGAAGTAGTGTGAACAGGGCTCACCATCCCCAGAGGGAGATTTCTGCAGAACAGCTGGGAGAACCTCACGAACAGAATAAGGGGAGCAAGGATGGTGTGCTCAGCTCATTCCTAGGGCAGGAGAAGGAACATGCCTCACATCCCAAAGGCGATCTCAACACTCCCTCAAGGATGCTGGGTCTTTCCTGCAACAGCTTTGACTGGCTTGGGTGAAGCCACCCACCACTACCCACCAAGGCCATTACCTGCTTTCCCTTCACCACGTGCTTGGGTACTGGCACTCTGACCTCCAAGTCAGTATAGTCCTGTGACCAGGTGTAGTTCTCTCGGACAGCACCATTGTAACTGTCGGGATTCTTCTGGAACTGCTCCTGAATCCTGAAAAAGAATAAAAAAGGTAAGCTCCCAGCCAGCCATGCCTGAGCAGAGGACCCCATGGAGAGCCCAGCCACATGCCACTCCTACATCCTGGAGACGTGACCAACTCAAGTTTCATCTCAAGCTTGCTTGCTCTGGCATCTGGAAACCCCTCCTCTTTTCAGGTGACTTCCTTTCTGACCCTCCTACATGGTACCCCTGGAAACCACATGACAAGGGAAAAGCTACAGAAAAGAAACCTCAGTGCAGCACCCTACGGTTTAGGAAAAGTATCTGGGACCACAGTCAAAGTATAGCTGGTGCTGCTGGCCTTCAGAGTACTGAGATCCAGGCCTGTTAATTAATCAGAGGGCCCTTATTAATAAAATTCTTAGGCTCATGAGTCCTTGGTTTCTTATAAACTGCTTGGCAGGGCGTATCTTTAAAAAAAAGGGGAAAAAAAGAGGCCAAGTGTGGTGGCTCATGCCTGTAATCCCAGCACTTTGGGAGGCCAAGGGTGGGTGAATCACCTGAGGTCCGGAGTTCGAAACCAGCCTAGCCAACATGGCGAAACCCTGTCTCTACTAAAAATACAAAAATTAGCTGAGCATGGGAGCACATGCCTATAATCCCAGCTACTTGGAAGGCTTAGGGAGGAGAATTGCTTGAACCTGAGAGGCGGAGGTTGCAGGTTACAGTGAGCCAAGATTGCACCATTGCACTCCAGCCTGGGCAACAAGAGCGAAACTCCATCTCAAAAAAAAAAAAAAGGCAAAACTATTTCATCCTGCAGCTGCTAAACTTCAATCCTAATCCAACCCCTAGCCTCTATTTTCTCCTAGTAAATAAATCAAAGCTAAAAGGACTGCACTAAAATTGTATACATCATTTGTAAGACATAAGTAAAACGTTTAATGAGACAGCCTAAAAAACTCAATCAAGCAGATCTTATTGTATAGGTCTGTTATAAACACAGCACAGATACAGATAAACCTACCAAGAAGCTGATGTTAAAAATAAAATATTTTCCATAAAATGTAACAATGCTAATAATATAAACACTAAGTAAGTTTAGACTCACAAGTCCATTATAGTGAACTGAAGATCTAAATTACAGACAAAAGCCTAGTCATGGAGGAGGCAGCAGCTACGAACACAGAACATTCCAACAGTAGGTGCAGCTCAGTCAACTTCTCCAGGGCCTGTTCAGAGACAAGCAGACAAAATCTGGCAGGGAGACGGCCACATGGGCTCATAAACAATGTGTGTACTATGATCCTGTTCATACAGGAAAACACAGAACTACACGTATCTACATCTATGTATCTTACACATGCAAGACAAGAGTTGGGAAGGGGTGGTCCAAGAGTGCAGGCTTTCTCTGGCCAGAGTTCTAAGACAAGAACATATTTACCTACCGTGGGTATGCTCTGCATACTGTCTAGGCATGAAGCTGGGCCTCCACCATAGCCTGAGTACTCTGGGCTTGGCAACTGGTGGCTGTTAAGAACTGAATTGGGTCCCCTAAAATGCTATGTTGGAATCTTAATCCCCAGGACCTCAGAATGTGACCTTAATAAAAACAGGGTCTTTACACAGGTGACGCAGTTACAACAAGGTCATTAGGGTAGGCCCTAATCCACTATGACTGATGTCCTTAAAAGGGGGACTTTGGAGAGACGATGTGAAGGCCATGTGGAGACAATGGTGTGATGTGCCTATAGGCCAAGGAACGCCAAGGACCGCAGGACACCACCTAAAGCTTGAAGAGGAGAGGGAATATCTTCCCCTAAGGCCTTCAGAGGGAATATGGCCCTGCTGACACTTTGATCTCAGACTTCCCTTCTAAGAACTGTGAGAGAATCAACATTTGTTTAAGCCGCCCATTTTGTGGTACATTATTGTGGTAGCATGAGCAAACACAGTAGCTAAGGAAACTAATTTCAATCAGAGGTGATATTCAAAATTCAGCACTGAATATTGGCAGGACTAGACACTAACCAATCAGAAGAGATGTCAGCCTTAAATTACTCACACATGAGGGCCACTGTGGGACAGAGAAATGACATATGGAAACCAGGAGTCACATAGGATTCCTGGCTGAACGACATGAGAAACAGGGTGCAGGGAAGGAAACTAAAGAACGTACAGTATGTTGAAAACAGGCAGCAAAAGAAAGATTTAGATGCAACCAATAAACACATTTTCAAAGACTATTTAGTGATACGGAGGAAGCTTTCAATATACCATAAAACTGAAAAGGGGGTATTGTTACTTTTAAGTATGGAATGACTTTAATTTCTAAGAAGAAACATAATACACACACACGTGTGTACACATATATGAAAAAGACTGAAAAGAAGCACATTAAATCTTTGTGGTTATCTCTGATAGTAGAGTAACAAGGAATCTGACTTTCTTCTTTGTACCTAGGTATTATCCAACCTCCCTAGAATATGTAGACATTTTTATAACCAAGAGAAAAATGGTTCTCTTTAAAAAATGCTAACAGGAGACAGTGATGCACCCTGCAGCCCCTGTATCCAGGTGCGGTCCCAGGACCACAGCAGCAGCACTACTAGCCTGACTCTTGGAGCAGAGTACGAAGGAGTCAGACACAGAGAGGGGGACTCAGCCAGCCCCCAAGTTTCCACAGGATCCTTCTAGGTGAGCACTGACAGCAGCTTTAAGACTCACATCTGACATAAATATGCTTGAACATGCAGAGAATATTTCCAAAAGAACAATAGGATAGCAGCAGCTACTTTTATGGCTGGAAACTGTAGACTTCTTTTCATTGACACTTTTGTACATATATTACCATTTGAAAAAAGTCAAAATTATGAAAACATACAAATTAAATATCCCCCCCACACACACACAAAATAAAGACCAACATGGCCCCAGCACTTGGCAGAGATCAGGGAGTAAACATGAAGACTCCTCAAAAGTTGGGAAAAAGAAATGGCTCTCTCAAGAAAGGAGAATGAGTATAATGCTTGGGGATGCTGCTGCCAGCAACAGTGCAGTCACTCAGCTTATACCACCAGCGATGCCCACATGGGTTCTGCCTCCTCCAGGGCAAATGGCGGTCAGTCTCTGCCTTGGAGTGAGGGAGGACATCTGTCACCCTTGCCACTAAACGCTACAGTAAAGCTGTATGCTTTTGGAGAGGGCTCTGGTCACACAGAACCTGCCTCACCCCATCCTCCTGCTGTGTCCTCAGCAGCCCTGGCCTGGCTCCTCTTGCATGGAACCTGCAGATTCCCTCCAAAGGAAGCAGGAGAATCACTCCTTAAACAGCCCTTGCAAGTTGTTGGGTGCTTTTTATAGTGCTCTGAATGCACATTCTATTTAAATAAGGTTGATTATTTCCAGCCAACAGTATGTTAAAATAAGCGTCCTGTCAAGTGCAGGTGTCTCTGGCCCCCACTGTGCCACTGTTGGTCACCCCTGCAGCTGCAGGCCTGGGCACACGGTAGGAGGCAGGGGAGGGAGCATCCACGCTTCAGCACCAAGGGTGGGAGTAGGAAAGTGAGTCAGCAGTCAGGTTGAAGATTATGGAGTAGGTCTCCCTGCAGCTCCCACTCCCGATGAGCTGGGATAACAAGGTTCTAAATGTGTTAAAGGAAAAACACAGAACAGGCTCTGTTGCCTGTTGGGTGCTGTGGGTAGCAGGGCCCTATGTCTCCTTGGGGATAGGCCAGACCCTTCCTGGCAGACTGCAGGCCTAGGTGCTGCTGAGTGTGGCAAGCCAGGCACCAGGGTCACCTGCACAGGGAGAGCTGGCGGCACTGTCACCAGGAGTCACTGTCATGCAGGCAAGCAGTTCTTGACTGAGTAGGTCAGGTTTCTGACCAGGTTTCTGAGACTCATCGTCAGGAACCCGACCTACCCAATCTGCCTGTTTGAGTGCTGCCACTAGAAACCAAAAGGTCCTCTCTTTCTTTTTTTTTTGAGACGGAGTCTCGCTCTGTCACCCAGGCTGGAGCAGTGCCACAATCTCGGCTCACTGCAACCTTTGCCTCCCAGGTTCACGCAATTCTCCTGCCTCAGTCTCCAGAGTAGCTGGGATTATGGGTGGGCACCACCACTCCCAGCTAATTTTTGTATTTTAGTACAGATGGGGTTTTACCATGTTGGCCAGGCTGGTCTCGAAATCCTGACCTCAAGTGATCCGCCTGCCTCAGCCTCCCATAGTGCTGGGATTACAGGCGTGGGCCACCGTGCCCAGCCTCCTTCCATTTGTTTTTAAAAAACACAGGATTAGGCTAGGCTCACACTTGCAATTTCAGCGCTTTGGGAGGCCAAAACAGGAGGATTACTTGAGGCCAGGAGTCTGAGACCAGCCTGGGCAACATAAGAAGACGCAGCCTACAAAACATTTTAAAATTAGCCACACATATGGCGCACACCTGTAGTGTCAGCCACTTGAGGGGTTGAGGTGGGAGAATGGATTGAGCCCAGGAGTTCAAGGTTATAGTGAGCTATGATTGTGCCACTGCACTCCAGCCTGGATGACAGAATGAGACCCTGTCTATAAAACGAAACAAAAAACAAAACAGGATCAGACAATCCTGATTTTCCAAAAGCTAGTGGCAAATATGTAAAATGAAGAGTAAAAGGAGGTCAAAGACCTAACCTAAAGAGTTTTGTCTAGGAAGCTAAAGCCCCAAACCTGTAATAGATTTATAATTCAACCAGATAAGGGCTGACCTCAAGCTCTTCTCCAGAGAGAGAATGCCTACAATAGGCATTGACTGCCTGACTAAAGGCAAGGTTTGGCTCCCCAAGTCACAGCCAGTGATTCCAAAGCGGAGGTGTTTGCACAGAAATGTCAAGCTTGCTGCTCCCCACTTCCCGCCCCCTGGGGCTCAGTGATTGAGGCCCGGTTTGTCAACCCCCTCTCTGTCACCCCAAATACAGCTGTTCTTTCATATCTCTTGCAATCAATCCTGTCTACCCTTTAAATGTTCACACTCTTAACTACATTGCCCTTAACCAAATTGCACAAAAGCCAC